TTTACAGTGTATCCCCCTCCTTGCTGGTTCCAGTGACCAGCATCCCTGTTATTTGTTTATTAAAGTACAGGAAACCGTATATATTGTGTTGTGTTGATTTGTTATAATCGTTACTGGTATATTTCTTTCTCTGCACAGTCTCAGTTGTGGTGATATACATTCACCAAACGATCCCCACCCTGTGACAGCGGACGAGCTGAGAGGGAGGAGACTTATAAGATAAGCACGCTACCAAAGACAAAGACCGGTATTAAAGACAAGCTCCCCGATCCTGAATACGGTGTAGCCCCATAAAGGCCCCCCCCCCGCATTTAACGTCACAATATTATCAAGTTTGACATACAATTTAGACAGTTTTTTTAGACAATTGTTTTTTATTACAATGGAGTTGCATTGCATATATGTGCAGTAAAATGATCAGTTATGACACATTTTGATTTGACTTAAACATAAATTTTACAAACATTTAATGAGAAAGAGTTGGCAAGCTTAAAGATCAAGGTCATAAGGAAAAAGCAGCTAGTACATCTTCTCATATTACCTACACGACCAAACACGTTGATATATTTTGAACCAGTGTATATATTTTGAATCAGGTGGCCCGAGGTGAAACAATAACAATGGTACACAGAGTGGATCTCCAAACCCAAACAAAACAACACTGGCAACCTAACCAGTGCTGACCACATTTCAGTTACGAACATGCACATTGTATATATGCACAACGAAACTACGTTCCGACGTCAGATATTTTACTCACCAAAAAACATCATAAGTTAACTGTTACAATAAATGCAATTATACGATGTAAATTCATATTTGATGCTTACATCCGATTTGTTTGTAAATTGCATTTTATTTTATGTCATTCATTTCCATTTTATTACGCCAAACAGTAAACACGCTACACGCATTTGTGAACCAAAAACGATTTCATTTATGAAATATTTGCTGAATTTGTTGTTGCTTTTGTTGTTGCATTTTTCCTTTCGAAAAATCGAAACCAGTGTAGGGGGGACTAACTGTGGTGGCGCTCTAGCAACTCGCCCTCATCGCCACCAGTACAAAATGTCGTCTGGTCAGGTGGTAAACCAGACCGCCAACCCTATCTCAGGATAGTACACAAAAACCCAGTACCCCATAAAAGTCCTCTCCCAGGGGACTAGAAAAACATGTACATGTTCTGGTGATCCGGTGTTCGCCCGAGAACTAGACACGAACCTGTTTCTCGGTGTATAACTTCAGTCACGAGGATAGGCAACGTGACGCCAAAATAACGTTAGTGATTGGGTGATGATTTGAGTGATGGCATTTTAATAGTGCTTCCACGATGCCACTCGATGTGTTTACCGACACGTCAGTGCACACAATAAAATCACATACTGTTATTCAAGTTGCACGGCGCTATAATAACCTGTATCCATGTATATTCACTTTCATTTGTGCCCTTTGATACGTGGTTCGATACATGGTTTCTCATATTCCAAAAAATAAATTATTAAACAATACATTTTATTGGCTGCTACATTACATTGAGTGTGATGTTGAATAAAGAGAAAGGCGAGGCAATTGTGTATATCACAGGTGACTGCTCGTAGCGGAATGATTTGAACCACGCACAACAAGAGAGACTTAGATTTAGAACATTGTTGAAATTTCTTGCCATGTCATGGGTTGGTTATAAAATGCACACCATTCAAAGTATAGTTTAATTTGAAATCAGTCACCCTTCGCATATAGATCATGAAATATGATTGCCATGTTAGAAGCGTCTTATTAAGATTTTAAAAGAATTTTGCAGAAATGCTAGGCTTGTGATCTTTCGCACAGAACGATTTCACCATCTTGGCCATATGGTGGTTAGGGTTTACTTGCCAATAGAACTGCGTGGTAATCCACGGCCACGCTAACGTAATTTAGCGTATTCGAATTCCATTTACTAAATGTATTTTACAGGCGTAGTGTACATCGCTATAAGTCCCGTATCGAATACTACTAGGCGCGACGCCCACCCCTTTAAACTTGATATTTTGAGGGAACAAAAACACCTTCATTTCCTCTGTGATATTGGTAATTCACGACCAACCATACGTTTAATATTCTTTTCTCTCCCATGTTTTTTTTTCCGAATCACGCCGAAAGCGACATAATGCAGCTCAGCTAAAACGATTCAAGTAGACATGTAATTACAGTAAAAAAAACAAATAACCCCAAATCCAGTATCAACACGACACGACAAGGTTGCCTACCAAATACATACAAATTTAAGAAACAAGCAGCCTGTCGGCTGAGATAGCTCCGCTGTTAGCAATGCACATGGCAATTAAACAAATCTGAGAGAGGTCCACATGTAGTTCCTATATGTATAATATATCAAAGCAATTGGACTTGCGGTTTTCAACAAGAAGTCGAAAATATCACTTTTTACCAAAAATTACAAAAATATTCATCAAAATTAGAAAATTAAAGATATCATCATGAAATGAACAAATCTGAGAGAGGTCCACATGTAGTACCTATATATGTAATATCAAAGCAATTGGACTTGAGGTTTTTAACAAGAAGTCGAAAATATCACTTTTTACCAAAAATGACAAAAATATTCACCAAAATTAGAAAAATTAAAGATATCATTATGAAATGAACAAATCTGAGAGAGGTCCACATGTAGTACCTATATATGTAATATCAAAACAATTGGACTTGCGGTTATTAACAAGAAGTTGAAAATATCACTTTTTACCAAAAATGACAAAAATATTCACCAAAATTAGAGAATAGAAGATATCATCTGAAATAAACAAATCTGAGAGAGGTCTACCCAAGGTACATATACACCAAGTATCAAAGCAGGCTTGTAGTTTTCAAGAAGAAGTCGAAAAAGTAAAACATTGACACGGACGACGACAGACGACGACGGACAATCACTCATGTGATAAGCTCCGCTCGACAAAGTCAACAGAGGAGCTAAAAAGTAGTGAATATGTCTGTAAACTTTTGTGCGACAATAACATGTAAATGTCTTTAAAAATATACGAAGGCATATGTCACATAAAGTATCAACACCACCCAGCTGACCAAACACCACCGAAGTTTTTGGGGTCTCCGGATACGTCAGGTGTTTGGTTTACCGCCGGAACTAGATGTTTACGGTGTTCGTCCAATCGATGATGTAATTCTTGTACTATCTCTGGATAGAGTTCGGCAGTGTTGTTTCGTTCCTCTGGATCATCTACAATGAAATAGAGACAGCGTGTTGTTAAAGAAGTATGTCTTATTGCTAAGCATACATGCTTGCCTGTGTGTAATACTCGAAGGAGGAAATAACTAGAAACTTCATACTTTACACACAAGTGCTCTATGTAACCCATGTGATATGACACCATTTCAAAAGTTCAAAGTGATTGACAGCGCAAGTAGCCATTCAATGCTGTCCTGAGTTTAACTTTTACCCTCTTTATTAGCCAATCAGCGACAAGTGGGCACTGTCTTTACTTGTCAATCATTAATCCAAGATGGCGACGTAAATTGTGTAAAATTGACGAGTCGTAAATACTATGACGCCGTGTTGAAGACTGGTGAACTGTATTCATGACCTATCAATGACGTAACATTGAATAACAAGTGAGCATCGGTACAAGCATGAATACATACATTACACAGAGCATGTTATTCCGATGTGTTTTTATGGTCGGCAATACATTTTTCAGACTTTTGAGTGCTAATTTCAAAGGCGGTAATTATTAAATCGGACGAGTAAAATATCCCTGTTGACAGTGGACTGTATTTTAACGGTAATTAGTGTTTGTAGCCACACTTAACTTACATAGATCGTGTTCGCAATAAATCTCAAAGGAAAATATATTTATCGTCTTCAAATTTCACACACAAGCTCCCCATGCGACATGCAAGGTCTGGTTTATTTTTAGATCAAAAGATGAATGTCCCTAAACACGTTTCCGACTAGGACCACGCAACCACGAAGTAGTTCTGAGGATTGATATGAATATTGAGAAAATCTGGCGGAAGTTGACATCTCCAGTTTTATTTAGAGTGTTTTATTTTCCAATGTGTTGTACGAATAGTGGATACACCCATCACGTGAAATACAGTATCGGCCACGTTCACATGTATATTGCCTGGGTTTTAAAGTAGTTCCAATGACATATACATGCATGTTTGTTACGTGGTCGCGCAAACTAGTGTGCATTAATGTCGTTGGTCCGTGAAATAAAGTGGTAAGACTGGCTTGATGAATGTGCCCTCAGGATTCACTTTCATTCATATAACAACGATGCGAATTTTCGTGTTCTCAGTACGGCAACACTCTAGAACGGTGATTGAACTGAGATATTTTTCATACCTTTGATATTGAACAAGTATGTCACGTTCGATGGAGGTGGAAAGTCCATTCCAGTGGTGTCACCTCGAAACACGTGTATAGGAATGTCACCAAAGTTATACCAACCATCTGAAATAAATATGACATATAAATTTATTTTATCATTCAATTTAAATTCACTGATATTCCACGCTTTCCTAGCACCACGTTTGGCATGCTGTAATAATGGAAGTAACCTTTTTTCCAGTATAGTAATGGTCAAATAAGGCGTGCTTAGCCGCAATGTCCTTTTTTATATTTGAGAAACTGTAGTTGCTGAATGCGATTTTTCTAGTGTGGGTTCTGACATTTTGAAGTTTCCATTGAGAATTCTACGTGTATTTACCTGATTCATTAGCCAGTCGACATGGATACAATAAATCTGGATTTCCGGTTATCAGCTTATAATCCCCGACTCTAGACATATACAAAAAAATGCAGAGTAAATGTTATGACAGGAGCAGAGATAGATTGTATGTAACACATACAAAACATAAAGCAGAAAAGAATAGATAGATAATAGCTCACAACGAAGATTGGCAATGAGTTCTGACAGACCATTAAAACCACAATCTCTGGGATGAACATTATATTTGTATTAATATACCAAATACAAACCAAACATAATATTTAATTAACAAAGACTGAAAAAAATGGAATAAAGACGTTTCGTTTTCGACATTGTGAAATTCGTTCTTTTCTGGCAGCAAACTTATTAGTATTTTAAAAGTAATTTTACCTAGTAAAATTATATTTATAAAAGTTATTGATCATAAATAATTTATATTTTTTTATTTTACAGATTCTGTAAGTCACAATTCAAGACGAAAAAAATGTCAAAACATAGCGAATTATCTGTATTACTAGATGTTTTGTAATACTCTTGTGAAGTCGGTAATTAAGATAATTATCACAGATATACATATGAAACACACATCGTTGTGGATTAATTATTTCTGAATTGTTTTGTTACAGTCAGTTCTTTTCAGATTTTCCCCAAAGGGATTTCCAATGACGAAAACGGAAAGTTTCTATCGTGGTTTTTTGATGAATAACATCCTTACAGTTTTAAGTAGGGAACAAATTATAAATATCAACAAATGATATCAAATATATGACACACACAACAGTTGAGTGTTTTCTTTGAGTTGTTGAAGCTAATCATTCGTTATAATTTATATTTACGATTCATGTGGTATATAGAAGTTCATTAGGCCATAGGTAAAATATTATACAGGACTCATCATAGTGGCTTTAGTTGGGTGCATATTATCGTTTGGTTATGGGACTGCGTTACGTACATCTACCGAATTTAGGATGAAAACACTGGCGGATTTGAGTTACGTACGTCAGGTCACCTTCACACAAGGAACTTATTCATTAATAGATCAAAGTTATCACTTTCTATTTCAAATTTGCTCGTGTTCTATATGTTGGATAAACAGTGTCCACAAACCTGATGGCAGCACCAGGGGACAACTCGTCATCATCGATATTGTATACGATCTCCTTTCTTGGCGATTGTTTATCTTCCGAGAATGTCTCCCACATATTCATCCCATCAATTCCAGATGCTGTCAGGTATAACACGAAAAAAAAATATTCAAACACAAATCATTTTCTAAAAATTTGCGATAGAATACTCTGAATATTGCTTTCACAGAGGTTTACAACTCACCAGATTCAGCCCCAGCCAACGAAAGTATCGTTTGATGCAAATCAACCATGTGCCATAACCTAAAATATGAAATAATTTATAGTAAAAAATAAAGGTACTACTATAGTTATGTGAAGGGTTATCAATACAAAAGAATGCCCCACATACGTTTCCGACCAGGACCACGCAACCACAAATAGGCTCTGAGGGTTGATATGAATATTAATATTACAGTTATTATTCGCAGAAATAACTTGTTGGCATTGTAGCAACAATTCAGCAAGCATGCTACACATGTCTGAACTATTTGACTCTGGATATGCTGCTGTTTCTTCTTTTTAATTCACGTTAATATACACATATGACCATATATTGATATACGTCATGGGAACGCCGAAATCCAAAATGTTTAGAACAGAATCAGCGACTGGAATCTTTGTGTTGAATCCGGTCAAATTCTGGTGGCAGCCATGTTTGTTTCTATTATTAGAGGACGCTTACGCCATTGTGTCAACACAGGTGGCGCTATTCAGCACAGACCTGTGTCTTATGACGCATAAATATTGTTAACCGCGTTTCGCAGTATAGCGGGTAACTATTGTCTGTGCGAGATGGCAAACAGACGGGTATGGTATGTGGGGTCATGTGACAAGGGGTATTTAAGTGGAGGACAGAAGGTTGAATGTCAATCTAGGCCAGTCTCGCTACAGTGCAGTTTTCAACTTGTTGTTTTGTAAGTTTGTTGTATAATACAGGGCGACACCCGCCACCTTCCCCTGGGTACGATCGACAGTGCGACGGGTACAGGTTTCCAGGTATTTTTTCCTCAAAGGGTTTTTTATTCCTGGTTTTTCCTGGGCGGTCGGCGTGCCAGTAACGGGGGTTACTATTTTGTCGATGTTTTTTGTCAGTTATTTTAAATGTTTCTTTAACCGAGTAATGTTGATTTCGAGCATCAATAGTCGATATTTTTTGCAGTTCATGTATTTTTTCTCTCATTTAGTTTATTTCAATTTGAACACTACATGCAATGTAATGGCAGCCGTTTTTAGTCGGCTTTATTAGTATGTTTTGTTAAATAAATGGTTTGCCGGACCGACTGCATATACGTGGCCGCACCTGGCATGAACCTTACCTTATGTAAGTGTGTGTTGTACATTGTCGGATGTGACGAGTCTAGTAAAGACCTAGTCTCTGAAGGCTAAATATCAATCATCCACCATTTTAGTCAGCGTTTCTTCTGCGGAACTATATACAAGTATTTTTTTTTTCTTGTTTTGAACACATTCTCTCCTTATTTTTTAGCAAGATTGAATCTTTAATGAATTGATCAATTAAAATACCGCACAACACTCATCAGCATGTCTTATCTTATTAACATTAAAATGTATGTAAATTGCGAGGTTAAAGGTCTAATGTTTCTCAATATTGTATTGACAAGCAAATTGCCGCAAACCAACCGAATAGCGCCATCTGTGTTGGCACAGTGTGGAAATAGTTCCGACCACTTTTCCCGTAGTTCCACGCGCGGTATGTGTCAGATCGGTTGGTTTGCGGCGATCTGCGTGTCAATGCGCTTACGCTCGTAATCATTCTATATTTGGAATTCACATTTCCTAATATGGTAGAATGAAAGTACCTCGTAAATACCGCAAAATTACGGCATGCTGTAACATATGGCGTTACGGTGACAGATGTATAATAATATTATTTATGTGATATATAACTTAGCAATCTAATGATCGTAAAAAACTAAGACTTACTGATTATTTACATATCCAGTCCGCTTCAACATATTTCCATGGGCAAAAGCTGGTACACGAGTAGCGCCCTCAAACAAAGTTGCAATCGTGCCTCGGAATGGCCAATTAGAGCCGGATGAACATGCTAACGCTCCATTCTGTGTGAATAAATAGAAGTAAACGGACATTAATTATATACATTATAGATGAGTATTCAAGTTACAATCCCAATTACAACTTTTGACATATTTGTTCACATTAATTGTAACTACACAAGAGCGGCTTGTCAGTCAGAACGGATACGGTAATTCGAGTGTTTAAACATTTTTATTCAATTTTCATTATTATTGTCGAAAAATATGTAAGTTGTGACAGCCTAGAGAAGATGAACAGATGCCTAAAAATATGCAGTTTTCTGCTTAAACAAATATTGACTTTTAACAGTATTTAGTTACTTAATTTTCATGATTAAATCAGTTGCTGCTTCGTGTTCAAACTAGACACACCCCGTCTTAGTCTCCTTTATTCCACGACTCGAACCCCTTTCCCTACATTTATTTTCTTTTGTTGTATGTTCATGTCAAAATTGATATGAACTGTTCATTAGGTATGAGACAGCAGATTCCAGATCAAATTGTGAATCTTTATCTTTCAATCAATTTCTAAAATAATGATTTTAAACATAATACAAAACAATCTCATATTTCTATAATTTTTTCTTAAATTGTCTGAAGTTAGTTATAAAATGTTCGTGGTTATATGCCATAACCAGGTTATGTTAGACGAGATCAGGGTACCGCTACGATAAACAGCGATACATTATTCATTACTGAATTCTCAATCACCACGGTACAAATATTCAAATCATGATCACAGTATTCTTATCACCATGCGATCATTATTTAACTATTACATAACCAACAAAGTCATCAGCTAACATACAACACACCAATTTTCATCACTTACGTCGCTGATGAATATAAATAGCGTATCTTCCCATAATGCACTAGTCTTCAACGCTTCGACCACACTGCTAATAGCATCATCCATTACAGACATCTTCCCTGAAAGAGTCATTTTACACAACTTAATTGGAGGACCGGAATCCGTTCTAAGCGCGGTTACTTTCATGACAATGGTAATAGTTCAAAGACAGGAATCCAGGGTTGTTTTTATATCTGGTGTCTCTACAACTTTTACCATAATTCTTCATGATCTCAAAAAGCATAATTGAATGCATTATCTAAGTTTAATAGTGTTTGATATTTATCACATACCGTAAAATTTCCGCGTTCTTTCATCTGCGATATACGAATATTTCGCTTCATACTCAGGTGGAACCTAGAAAACAGACACACAAATGCATGTGAGAATGTCAAAATTGCTATCATGCTATGTTTTTAGTTTATATTTCCAATGTACCAGGTCCTAGAAAACAAACACACAGAGACAAATGCATGTGAGAATGTCAAAATTGCTATCATGCTATGCTTTTAGTTTATACTTCCAATGCACCAAGTCAATCCACGGAATAAGTAACGATTTACCTCCGGAATCTTTCCAGGTATATCCAGAGAAAACTGAAGAAATAGTGGACATTTTGTGGAATGACCCTTTATTATTTCCACTGCTCTCTCAGCAAGCATGAACTGTGGGGATGAAAGAGAAGATATGCAATTAATACTTTAAACTTTTATGCATTAGCAATACATGTTGACTTCTCAAGATTTAAAAATATATATTTCAAATAGCAAAAATTGTGTTTACATTACTTGTTTCTTCATGTCACAAAGTCATAATTATTTGCGAACAAAGATTGATGGTGTGTTAATCATAAACAAGCAGCCTCTCAGCTGAGATAACAATGCACATTTCAATTAAAGAATTAACGATAGCGTCATGAAATGAACAATTCTGAAAGAGGACCACCTGAGGTATCTATATGTATAATATCAAAGTATTTGCGTCTATCAACAAGAAGTCAAAAATATTACTTTTAACCAAAATTAGAGAATAAAAGATATCATGTTGAAATGGACAATCTAAGCGAGATCTGCCCACAAAGTATCAAAACAATCAGGCTTGTACTTTTCAAGATAAAAATCAGGGGTCAGGGGTATCACATTTTGTCTCATTCTTGCATTATTATTCATTAAAAAACTGTCGATCTCAGCGTTAGTGTCTGTCTGAGACTAAACCACATTATTATACATCTGTCACCGAAACGTTTCAGTGTGAGGTAATTTTGCGGTATTTTACGGGGATATTTTTACCCTACCATATTAGAAAATGCATCCTCTAATAATAACAAGACATAAATGTCACAGTCCCCGTCATTTAATTATAAAATACTCGATATCTGCTGCAGAATTTCTGAGACAATGTTAGAGACCGGAAATAAGAAACTATACCGCCTGAAACGGGGACTAATACAAAAAAGGCTGCCACCAGGGTTTGACCGGACTCTACACAAAGAAGTTCGCTGATTCTGTTCTAAACTATTTGTATTTCGGCATCCCCTCACCTTGGAGAAAAAGATGTATAATAGTATTATGGGGATATAATTACACCTAGGTCAAAATAACGTTAGCACAGTGAGGGATTTTGGCTATAGGACCTCAACGGCTCGAATCACAGCCCAGCTGAGACAAAGTTCTTAGTTCCAGTTCTGTGACATTTGTATTACTATTATTTATACTCGCCGTGAGATAAGTATCACTTTCTTGTACCACACCGGTGTTGTCACGGAAATCATACCCGACTGCAGCTGGAAAGACAAAACACGTTTTAGTTAACTAAATAAAAATATCCACGTGAAGAAGCACAAATGAATACCAAGTCGCTGGTCCCGTTCTCTGATTGGTAGATTAATTTGTTTATTGACCGAGAGATGAGCGGGAGTTAAACTGATATTTGGACTTATGATATACTTACTTTTTCCGCAAGTATCTGTTGCAATTTTACCATAATGTGTAGTTCCGCCTGTCCATGAGCCATAGTGTGAATCAAAGCCACGTCTAGTTGGTAGATATTCCTCCTTACAGAATCCCAAATCCCACCTACAAATAAAGTTATATATCACAATAGATTTGGCGGATTTAACATGTGATATATTTGGTAGTAATACGGCATCATACAGATATCGTATCACACATAGTATAAGCATGTAGGAGGGTATTGTGCACACGAATTCGCTGATAAACATCGCGATCTACTTACTTGCCAATATTATGAGTAAGATAGCCAACATCTTTAAGTCTTTCTGGTAATAATTTAAACTCCAATGGAAGCCCACTAGGGTGAAGGTTGAATAGAATTTGATGCTGAATATAAAAAAAATCTATTTATGAATAACACGTCAGAGGGCGCATTATACTCACTAGAACTATTTTTCACGTTTTTCACAAAATTTCTTGGACTTTTTTTTACGCAAAACACCCAAAAAATCGATAATATTATACTGATCGATAATAAAACTTTTATATAGTTTGGGTTAAAAAGTACGAAATTCATACATGGATATACATAAACATAAACAGAAAAACACACAACAAAACTGACATACAAATATAACTCACCAGCTCACCCATAATAACATCGTTGGCAATTAAGTTAAAAATATGTGTTTAATTCCATCACGCTTTCATAAATATGGTTCTTTTATTTTGCACAATAATTGTCCAGGGCTAAAGTGAACCACCTTTCAACATTGACAACAAAAAATATAATGAGGTTATTATAACACATCTCATTACCTGATTTCCAGTTCTAAATGGATAATAACCCGTCATTAGTGAAACTCTCGATCTGTAGAATGAAATGTACATATATCAAATCAGTTAAGATGTTACATTTAGAGATAATATTCGCTGTAATGTTGTACCCGCACCGGGGTTATATATGAAACACGTCGCCGATAACCGGGTGCACCTGATATAAGAATTTATATAGTGGAAGTAGCGTGCATGGATGTTGGCTTAACCAACTGAATAATGTATGATGATATTTGTAGTAATATATCTGGGGGGTATAAAAGATTATTTGACTTACTATTTGGCTATATAAACTAATATATTTCTCAGCAACAGTGGCATGATCAGATTGGTAATAGTTCAAAATTATGCATTTATTCTAAATTAAAAAAAAAAATCTTAGCCGGGGAAAAATATCTGGATTCTATCACCATAAGTGTTTTTAGAAAATCTCTCACTTGTTTCAGGATATCTACTCATGATCTCATGATTGAAAAGGGTAGGGCATTGGGAATACCACTTGACCAAAGATTGTGTCCTCTTGGTTGTAATCACATTGAAAACGAGTTCCACTTTCTATTACAATGTCCCAAATTTGAGGAAATTAGAACTCGTTTTATAAACAAGTTTTACTATTGCCCAGCGCTTGAATGGAAATTTATTTTGCTACTGCAATCTGAAAATACACATACACATACAACACAAAATCGTGCAAAATACATATTTTATTCTTTACAAAAACTTCATAGTTTGTTAGAAGGAAATTTAACTGAAATATAAATATAATTTAGTATTCATAGGTGAAGTATAAGTTTGTAATATTCAGACAAGTAGTAGTAGTGGTTATTCTTGTCAAACGATCTATCTATTTATTTATTTTTGTTACATTTAAGTGTGTACATTATGGCCTATGGCCAATGGTACTGGATAAATATATTATTATATAAACTAATCAAATTGATTGCTTGGTTATTTACGGAGAAGAACGACGATGCTAGCAGTGAGCAGTTATTTATAGAGTAATTGAGAAGACAAAAAAATTGATCTGTATCATAGAATTGGTGAGATAATTTATTTTATTAGATTAAAGATGACTTTGGTGGGGTGGAGTATCGAAGAGTTTAAAATTTGAACCATAGTACCAGTGACAACACACAAAGTAGTATATGATCTACTTTCAATAATGATAAACTGGTCGACGATAAAGAAGTAGTGTAGTAGTTAAGCCCAGGAACTGAAGACAATAAAATGTTGTCTGCTGTCCAGCTTTGAGGTTTATCGAGGTGAACTTGATTTATGTGTGAGGTATGAACATGAACATGAGCCAGGGTAACAATGCTATTCGCAACCAAGAATTAAATTATTCCAAATGAGAGCACTGAGGGTAATTCATGGCAATCGGCTTACTGAGGTCCACATTACGAATTATCTAAGAAAGTAGGACGACTTTATTAACATCGAGAGAAGCCGTGCAATAAAACTATCTTACACAACTTATACACAACGTATACACAAGTGATCTAAATTCGCACATGTGTTTCATTACGAAACGTTTATCTTAGACTTGTGCGAACTTGTGCATGCATATAGAATAATATATATCGTCCTGTTTGTTTGGCAATTTGTTTCGTGTTCCACACTTACTTTTTAAATGTATAATCTTGCTAATTTTTAAACTATAGCATATTTCCATAAACGTCACAACCTAATAACGTCCTTGAAATATTCTAGTTTCATGTGAAGTGAGTACCTTCATAATTCTACAAGTCACGAGGTAGTAATTTACATTCCACTCACAGTACGGTGTTATTACTTACGGGGTACATAGAGGCTGGACATATGTTTGGTTGAATATAACGCCATCAGCGGCGAGTTGATTGAGGACGGGCATCATGACATCTGGGTTGTGCCATCCTACGTCATTCCACCCTAGATCCTCTGCTAGTATTAGAACAATATGAGGCGGCCTTTTTTTGTGCACTGATAAAACTGAAAGCAAAATTAAAACATAGCAAATCTATTAGAACCTTGTTCGTTGTTTATTTTATGACAGATTGATAAATAAACATACTAATGAATGACGGTAAAACAATTAAGGATATTTAAAAAGTATATTTTATATGTTTTGGTTATTTCCAGCACTAATACTAGTGCCATAAACTGTTCAAACTTCAATGCACTGAGATGTAAGACTCATAAGAGTATACACCCTTATATATGTGTGAATTCCGTATATAATAATAGTACTGAACAATTCATTCCACTAAGCCAAAAGGTTTCAATTATTTTCTCTCAATTTCAGAAGGTGAACAAAGTTATGTTAAACGCTCAAGCAAAAGTTAACATCAGGAAAAAAAATCAAAAATGTATATAACCAAACTTATCCACAAATACCTAATCAACATGGTTTTATTATATACGTGTACACTAAAGTTTCGTGAAGGTGGAGTTCAAGGTGGAGGTGAAAACACGTCCTATTATCACCTTAAGAACATATTTTCGTTATTTTCTGGTGAAATACATTTCATAGCTTCACAAATTATTAAGTGCCATCTTTTATTCTGCTTAAATATCGAGTGACAAAAAACCACATAGCAATTTTCTAATTGCATAGACTCCAATGTAATTTATCGAAAGTATATGGGTCATCCTTTAAAGAGTTGCTTTCATCTCAAAACAATGGATGTAAGCAACAGTTGGTGGGGAATATGCTTTAGGAGGTAGAGAGTGGTTTTGATCCTAATGCTTCGACGTCTTATTCGAGTTATTGGAACCAAAATAAAACAATTGACTGTGAATATTACAACAGATATTTTGTTTCATATTCCCTTCCCTCAGTCTGCAGGAGAAGATGAAAACAGTATATAGAGGACAGATGATCATGAAGTGCATACTACATTACGCCATCTAGCGACACAGGCGCTTTTATGACGTAAAGGATGACATGTCGACTTTAAGATAAAAGCCTACTCCTACAATTATGGAGCCATTCTGCCATGGAACAACGAAATAGCAATATTTTATGTGTTTGTGTGTTTTGAGAAACTTGTCCTAATAATTTGCAATCAAATTTAACCTCTGCTGACCTTGCACATTGTTACATAATATTATTTCATTTATACAAATTTCTTTTAATGTGATTATGTATTGTCATAATTCATTTTGAATACAAACACGTTTTAGGATTGAAACAGCAATTCGAAAACTTCTTTATTGATGTAATTGTCTTGTTTGATAACAAATAGTGGTGCCTAATTTAATAAAATAGTAAATATACTTGTTCAGTCTGAACTGTGCCTACACTATTAAATACTGTCACACTGATTATCAAAGTTATACCATTTACTATCTGGAGTTTTGATACAAGCATAGTAATGAGATGGTGTTGATTGATGAACTACGACTGCATAGAGTTCAAATACTGTGTTATCACAAATATCACCACTCAGAAACTTTATATAGAAGATAATATTTGGTAATCGTAGTCCTAAGTAACTATTTAAAATAGCTAGACGTTTCGAGCAATGGCTCTTTATCGATAGCATAGAAGAAAATTAATCATTAAGTTAACAGTTAATCCCGTTAATTAATTATTAATTTATTAACTACTCACCAACTTTGACAGATTTAAAGTACATGGGAAAATAACGGATGTTTCAATTTTGGGGAACAAATCTAACCTGCAACTGAATAACAAACTATTATTTCTTCACAGAAATAACGGAAGTTTGTTTTCATTGAATAAATTACTATTATAAAAGCTCGATAGTTAAGTTTTTTTGATTATCGAAAATTATGTCGACAAAGAAATGTTTGTTATAACAACCATTCCATTTCACATGTCAAATACAGCATACATATTTTTGAGTACAATTTGTCTTTTAAAATGTATGCAACATTTTGTCTGATATGTATTTTTGCTTTGACAATTTTGGACTAAACAGACATAATTTTGTACTTGCGTCAGATTTCATTGATGAATAGGCTTCTACCTTAATATATAACAACTACATTCTATATCATACCAACACTTTATTGTTAGAGGGCGTGCCATATCAGATCTAAAGTTACACCACATTAACGTTACCTACCAATGACAACTATCGCTAATACTACGATAACTATGACAAGGACTGTCAGCATGGCACATGATATGGCGTTCTTGCGAATCTTTTTCAAAGCTGCTTGTGTAAAGTCATCGTCAATGCCAGACATCGTGACGTCACCGATAGTCGAGGGTGAAATGGGATGATCATCGTTCTGAAACAAAACAGATGTTACGTGTTTGTAAGACTGAGAAGTCGTGTGAATTCATTATTTTTTTAAACCATTTTTTTTCTTTCAAAGCCAATGAAAGTTGTAAAAAGTGCCTGTGCCAACTTATGCTCGTCAGCGGTCGTTGGTGGCGTGGTAAGCATCACGTCGGCGGAAGTTATTACCATTTTTAAAAGTATAATTAATTCATAGCAGATATCAACGCCAACATATTTTTATATTTTGTTTCTGTAATTATTTTTACTGTGTTGCAATGGGTAAGTGTTTCAATAATGACAACGTTAAATGGGTCTCATATAAACAAAGATGGCGACTTTGACTGTTGCGCAGATCAACGAGTACAAACTGAGACGTTACCAAGCTTTAATAAGGTATTTTTAGGTGATTGGAAGGTATCGAAGGAGTCACCGGCGGTAATTAGTGCAAGTCGCATCCAAGTCAAACCTCATACTTGTGATTTCCATTATAAGAGCGCATTGGATTGTGGGAAAATCAATGTTTATCAACACATTACAGGTCAATATTTGTATAAGCAGAAATGAAAGGTTAACAGGATATTACATAACACTAAACTACATATGGTTAGCATCTCTTCATGTTATCTAACGGACATAGACATCACACAATTTCCAACAACCACATCCCTATAACAGAACTTCCCGGTGTTCTAGTGAGTTTTTACCATACCAATCACGTGACATTTCGCTATACAAGTGTAACAAAACATACAAGTTGACAAGGCTATCACATGACAACTTCATTTATCGCGTCTTAATCTTATACAACATCTAAGTCGCAATTTGTAACGATTAGTGGCGATTTTCAAGCGTGAGTTTTGTTTTGTTGTTTTTATTAAATACCAACGCGTCAAAAGAATAACGGTTATGTTAACACAAGTTCACACAGAAGTCACCGTGCAGTAAACGTGGGATATGGACAAGCGTGTAAGTCTATAATAGAGCTACTTCAAGGCATAAATTGGGCATATATATATATATACATATATATCGTACTCTGTATGTTTAGCACATCCAGCTCGTACTCGGGTGACCTTCTTGAATACACTTCAACAAACTTCGAGACAGGGCGTTACTGAAACAAATTTATGACAGTAAAACGATATCAAGGAAATTTGATATATATTTTTAGCATAGGGAATTATATTTCACAGTATATTATTGTATTGTATTTGTGAGCTGTTTTTTTTTTCTTTGCCGGATTTCACGTCATAATATTATAGACGTTCATGTGCCAATGAATCACGATTAGGTACACACAAGCAGTGTCATCACATGACGTTCAAATATGGACAATGTTATATTATAATAAACCGACAAGACGTTGAAACAAGTTTGCTTTAAGTACAACATACCACTACAGGGACGATAATATATAAGGCTATTTGTAATGTTCTCATGTGAGCCGGCATAGTTCTTTGACGACGTGTTTAGATATGTGATGACCGACCTGTGGTGGTCCACAAATGTTGTGCATTATGGGTAGTATCAGAGCTGATCACAGATAAACTCGCTTGAAGCACTGACTCTTAAAGATAAGGCAATCGTTAACAGCATATTATACGAACTTATCTTCTCTAACATCGTGTCATATCCACCGTGCATATAACCCATTGCCAACACCACCACCAATACCTAACCTAAACCCGCCCACCCACGCCCTACCCATGGTACCTATTCAAGACGATGTAAATTTGCGGAGTAAACAAATCATGACTACTTAAATATGCGTAGTAATAACACAACATAAATTTGCCTAGTAATAGGGACACCATCTATACTATGTATAAGACCACAGTAACTGGCTCACATATGAAACAAACAATGTACCCGTCATTTGCTGTAATAGACACATTACTTGAGGTTAATTAACGACATACTTTGATAAACTCACCATGTCTTGGAGCTCAATCTCATCCTCATCGCCACTGTCTTTCTTAATTTCCGGTGAATCGGACCCTTGTGAATTTAAAAGTACTGATGTTGAATCCGGCATGACGTTCGTGTCTTCTACGCCAGAGTTTACTTCCACATCTCGCCGTTCGGCATCGTAATTAACGGCTTCATTATCATTCTCCGAGTTCAACACGACCGCTTCACCGTTCTCTGGTCCAGTTTTGATGTCCTCTTCGACATCCGACGTCGTTTGCTCATTTTTGCCTTCCTCCATCTCTAGACAGTCGGCGAATAAACTCGACCTTACAGACTCTCGCTCACTCTATTAATAAATAGATGGTGTCATGCACGCGAATGGAATTTTGGGTAGTTCCACCCCGATAAGATAAATAACTTGTAAAATGCAGCATCTGGCCTGTAATAACACGCGAGAGTTTTCTCTCGCACCAACGCCGACAGTGGATCGTATTTCACCTATACCATGACCCCGTAAACTTACGATGTTAGTACGGACTGCTGTATACGGTGATTATAGGGGAACGAGGGATTAATGACATTTATAAAGTAACTATATACTATGACAGTACTGCGGGTGATTGGAAATAACACAGCGGATCACGTTATATTGTATCTCGTTAAATCTTCTTTCTTTTGGGGGTAAATTCAAGTTATCACGTAAAATTTTATGAAATCGTACACGAACCGAAGACAGGAACAGCGAGACATTTTCACGTACCCTCAGAATGGAGGTCATATTCCCAATCCTGAATACCACACGCCTGGCAATTCGGCAGCGTGTTTTTGTTGTTGTTTAATGGGTAGCTGATCATATGTGAATTAATCCCTGGTGAATTAATATAGTGAGTATAAGATAATATTGCCTATTTTGAACTTGAACTTCGGTGGTGAATGAAGTTGCGAATAATCCGTTTTCACTTCTCGGGGACGGTTGTAGGTTAGTCCTAAGTAACTTGTAAGTACTATTGTCGTCAAATAAAACTTATCCAAAATGTTGACCAATTTATGTAGCCAATATGTAATTGTGTCCATTTGGGCCAAAATTACTCAAACAAATATAAACACTAGTTACTTCTTCTAGTAACCGTGATATAAATTGAAAAAATGTGTCACCAACATTTGGCGGGAATAATTATGCTTCTGAAAAGATTAATAACATTCATACTCACTGAATATGTTTGCAAGTGAGTTGACTTAAGCTTGTGTTCCCTCAGTATGTGTATGCATGACGTAGTTAGATTCGGTGTATTAGTTATAGCGAAAACGAGACATTTCGAATAATCCTGTTACAGTCAGTTAACGGTACGCCCTCATTTGTACTAATAGCACGTTCGTTACTTTGGTGGCTTGTCTAACTTGATATCCATCCTGACGCCGGTATTTTTTTACGGGACGAGGCTATATTCATCGATGACGTACTCCGTCCCAATAATAACACAATAGACACGAAAAAAGAGGGTTGACATTCTCATTACAGTTTATTCATTGAACACGAATCTTCTAGTTCAGTCATAGATGTTAAAACTCGAGCAAAATAAATAAATAAATAAATAAATAAATAAATAAATAAATAAATAAATAAATAAATAAATAAATAAATAAATAAATAAATAAATAAATAAATAAATAAATAAATAAATAAATAAATAAATAAATAAATAAATAAATAAATGTAGATGAAATATGTGTATACTATAACGGAAGTGCTGTGAATATCGTTACCATGGTAATCGGTGGGTTGAGTGGCTTGGATCGTCGACGACCCTGAGGTCAAATTCGTTGATGAAAAACAGAACATACATCTACAAACACAGCTCGGATAAGCTCAAATACTCACTCTCGTTCGCCACCATTTTTTTGCACAAATTTGACATGTTCTAGCAGTACAAGACAAATCGTATTTTTTTGACAATCTGAATTATCGTTTACAAAATACAATTTGCAATATTTTTAAGGAATAATTTTCAAAAATACATCATAAGAGACAAGTCACAATTAACAGTATACGAAGTTTAAAATTCGGTGGTTCATTTTTTTTTTGGCCTTAAAATAGTCAAACTCTATCTATAAAACATGGCACAGGATGGCGCTCTACGCGAAATGCGAATATGAAGCGCCAACATGCGACCGCGTCAGTATCTGGAAATCAACACGTCACGTGACTTACATTTAAATACACAACACATATATTAGCATGATCAGCTAAGGTACTTTAAAACCGCTCAACAGTATTTACAACCATCAGTCGTGTTATCTTAGTACATAAATACACTGCTTTTCTTCACAAGCAACATATACACGTGACGTCATCAATATAAACTCAAAGAACAGTATCATAGCTTGTCAGTTTAGTTTTTAAAAGTAATTTACAAAAACACGAGCATGTTTGCCACATACAATTCGACGTAATATGATGTTATCATACGCTGGAAAATCATACTGAAATAAACTTGAAGTCTGTTACTATGTGTTGCTAGTGACGTAAACTTTAGGGTTACATATTTAGGTAAATATTGTTATTGATACTAGGATTTGAATTCAAGGACAGTTTGCATATCAGGTGACTATTCGTGACCTAGTTTATCCAAAATGGCGACCATGACGTAAGGTATCTAAGATGGCAACCACAAAATATATTCAAGAATGGAATGCATCCAAGATGGCGGACTGTTCGCCCAGTTGCATTTAAAGAAATGTTGAAGATTACCATCAATTCTCACTCAGGTAATACATGTTGAATACATGCATTAGAAACATTTTTACAATAAGAATGTTTTACGTAGACCGTAAGATGGATTCGAATCTCATAAGCGAAATATCACCGTGATAACAATTATGAGTTTAAATTCATTTGTATACATATTGAATTATTTAATAAGCAATAAATGCTAGGACCATTCCAATGCAATGACTTCGTTACATGTTGTTTAAAGTGGGGGCGTCGTCACCTGCGCATGCGTCAGATGGCCATAGCGTGTCATTGTTTACAAACAAGCGTCTAACCATGAGCCTTTGCGTTTTTTGCGTGTGTTGTTATCGAGCGTGCGCAGGTGTCGACCCTCCCGCTTTAATCGCTAATTAGTACATGCTGTGAATGAGTTTCAATGACACGGATACCCCAAACCAAGGGGAGAGGTGTGAAAACAAAAACAATATATAGTTATTCCATGAATGAGGTATACTATACTGTAATCTTTCACGACAAATCCCTGCATGGGGGTCATATGGGACATGGTCTACGTCCAGACATTTTTGGGCCAACAAGTCCTTTTTGAACCTGGTCGACAGTCTTGAATTCTAGTGAAGAACCCCCGTCCCTCTATCACACCAACACTTTTTTTCAAAACCTTGATCATGATAGGTATGGTTGATCAGTCTGATAATTAGACACAATAAGAAAAAAAACACGATCGCGGTGGGTGTTGCATGTCACTATTATGATTACAGTAGCTTTCGTTACAGACATATCGGCGATGCATCGGGCCCAGAAATGGCAGTCATGAATGTCAAGATTTAGCGCGGGTCTTTCTTTGCAATGTTCTCTAATGCCTGTATTGGGTTGATGGTCGGGCTGAGTGGCGGTCCGGGAAGAATTCTGCTGCAGTACGAACTGGAAACAGTGGTAGTGGGTGAGGTCGTATATGAAGATTCCTGTGAAGACGAATTCGGGCTATGGCCCCCATAGTTTAAGAACTTGGAATATACTGATTCGCTCTGTGGAACGTTAATCGTTGCCGCACTGCTCGTTGTGGGCGCCACTGCTAAAAGAGTGTTGGGACACTGTGATTGCAGCATGCCGTTTGACGCAATATGATTGGTCGATGTGGACAGCAGATGACCACTAGCTGTAATCACGTGATTAAATGGCGGTGGAGGTGGAAAGATGTGGCCAGGAGCAGTGGGGTGGTTTAGCAGTATGTGATTAGCCCCCTGGGGTGCAACGTGGACATGTGTTGGAAGCTGAATGCACTGTGTCGGTGGCAGGAGAAAGTATTGCCCGGTGACTGGGTCTAGTACGATTTTAGAACCCGTCAGGACTTTAGTAGCCGGTGGATGCTGGAATGGATGTGGTAGAATCGTTAGGAATTGTGGCGATGGGTTTGTAGCAATTCCGTTGGCAGTTACTGGCGAGTTTATGGCAGTCTGGATTCCGTTCGCGCCCATAGGTGTTGTTTGTACATTGACTGGTAATAACGTTGTTGGTTGCTGGCGTCGACCGTCTTCTGACGTATTGCCATTAGTGGATGAGACAGCCGTTGGTGAATTCGCCGATGTACACGTGTTCGACGTTTGGCCGTTCGGGCTTAACGCGATTCTTCCCGAGTTTGAACCATTCACCATCGTTGAGGTCGCTGTCGTTCTTGTCGGTGATGGGCTCGGCGAGGCAAATCTTGTCAAACTAGAAACATTTACGACTTTGAGTTCCCCTGATGAGGTTCTTTTCCGTTTGGCTTCGCATGGCGGTGGATCTGACGGCTCCTGTTTCGCGAGGAAATGCGTTGTGACTTGCCTGTCTCGCACAGGAGGTGAGTTCAGCGGTGGAGGTTCGCTTGAGGGCGTTTCAAAATCAGAACTCGGAGTGTCCGGACTGCTGATTGGACTTCTGTCATAACGCCCATGATGTAACGCTACTTCCGAGTGACCATTGAGCGATTTCTCAAATCTTGTAATTCCTATCTTTGGTAGAAGACGTATAGGTTTCACCAGTGGCTTAAGATTCGACTTTTCCTTTTTAAAGACATCTTCGAAATTCTGGTTCTGTAAGTGACATAACAGACGAAGGAATCGGATGTCCTGTGGAGCCATGGCTTCTACCTCCGCTAAATAACGAGCAATTTCTTTCATGCAGGCTTTGTAACCATCTTCGAATCGCCGCTTACCAATTTCTTCGAGTTCTGTTACATCGTCTGTGGAAAACAAAACAAAACACCTTAGTTAATAATGCCCGACATTTCTGACTACTTGCAATATTCCAATTACCATATCTCACAATGATCGCTCGGACTTTCGTTTTGGAAAATCACATTTCATCAAAGGTGTGAGAATTAGGAACGTATTGTCTATGCGTGTAACCTGAAACTAGTTGAAATGTGATGGAATCGGATCAGAAAATGATACATCAGTATTCATTTTCATCTTGTCCATGTCATCATAATAGAAAATGTCTGTCCTTTTGGTGTTGTTGGTGATGTCATGATTTCAAGTACTCAAACCAATTCCATCCAATTTGTTTCAAACTTGGATAATGTCTTAACCAATTTGGAATCTTGGCCAAGTTCGATTTTGGTACATGTTTCATGAATATTTTTCAAGATAATGGTTAAATTTCACTTAAAATAATTGCCTTCTTGTGGTTAGAATAATTTTTATCTGGTCATCTTAAAATTTGGGAATCTTATCAGTCAGTATAAAATATCAATCAAGTTTAATTTTCATGGAAGGCAATTTTCAAGACAAAGTGTAAAGTTTGGCCGAAATAAAACATTTGTTAGATGTAGAAATAAGTGGACGGAATAAAGACGTTTATACTGCTGTGAGAACTAGATGTTGGTAATATGCTTAAAGTAAACCGATATGTTGTTTTCATTGTGAGTATAATTCAAACATGTGACAAGTGCATACAGTTCTCCCGCCTTTTTTTAAATTTGGCTAGTATTTTATTTTGTTTATACACATTTATGCTCAACAAAATTTGAGAACTTTTTAAAATTCCATGTTATATTATTCTATAGGATACACTCGGAGCTAGTAATTTCTACTCAAAATTGTTTAGATATATTATTGCATTGTTACAGGACTTTTATACTCACACTTATCATGCAAAGAAAATACCGTGCATCGTTAGTTTGTATCCATCCATCTATTCATCCATCCTTTCATTTGTTATTTTAACTAGATTCCCAGTAGACATGTTTAATTATATTTTGTTTAAATGATTTCCCGTCATTCTGTGCATTTCTCATATACCACATTCTCACAATGAAAAAGGGTGTAATTTATTTATTCCACGTATAAAATAAAATGCAGATTATAGAATAAGAGATCAAGGCCTTACCTCGCACTCTACACATTTATCTAATATGCTAAATATACGTATGACGTAGGTAGGATATTGAACACGTGATTACAGCTACCTACCTACATCGTTATCGTTGGCATCTACTCTGTCGTCTTTCTTCGTGTCTAGTGATATATCTTTCCCCGTTCGTTGTATTTCATGGATGTATGCAACTGCCAACTCCAGCACTTCCGCTTTCTCCAGTTTACCAGTATTACTGCTGTGTTTCTGATGATGAATAATAAAGTGGTATGTTACTTGCTGTTGAAGGACACAAAGGGACCGAGGAGTTGTCACACAGTCACTGAATAATGAGATGTCGTACACCCATGCGTGTTATATAAACGCAATAGTGGATATAAGCCAAGGAGAAAAGCCAAGGAAAGTGTCACTGAAGACTCAGACTGACTGGAGCCATCTTCGAGCTCTGAACGTTATTGTGTGCGTCTGGTAATAGATCGTACTAAACTGTTATAACGTTGATTTATATGACAGAATTTTCTGAAACTACAACTGAAACTTTCAGGTTGTACATAGCCCCTACACAAGATTTATATAAAATATGTTATCTGTGATGAGATAATATGTTTATCTGCGATGAAATATTATGTTCTGTGTGAACAAAATATTAATATTAGTTATCATAAATCATGATCAAGTTTGAATATCAATATTCAATACCAGCAATCCATATAGTTCTGGTGTATCAACTGATGTATTACGTGTGATGTATCAAGATTAGGCTCTCTTACCGATCTGACAAACGATGAAGGAATCACGTGACTGAGCTCGCTGATACAAGAATTGATTCGGTGTCTGCGCCTGCGTTCTACGATTTTATGTGAGCTGTATTCCTGTAAGAAAATACATAATGAATATGTATATTAGGATGCATTGAACTGTAAATAACACTACATGACACATGTAACTGTTTTGGTTGGATGAGACCTAACGTATCTCATTTGTAGAAGGTTTGTTTTCAATCATCAAAAAATCTAAGTAATGGAGAAGATAAAAACAGGTAATCACGTGCACTGCTGGTGAAAAGGAATTATTACGTAGACTGCTGGTGAAAACGTATATGGACTACTGGTAAAACAGGTTACCACATAAACTGCTGGTTATAAAAAGTTATCAATTAACGAGGGTATTAAGATAGTATCGACGTAAGATTTACATTTTGAATGTATATACTTCACACAAATCTATTTTCAAATTGCCGAACAAGTCACGAGACACCGAAGTGTATCCCAGATTCCATCATCGTTTGACACTACGATGTTTACATAAACATACACATACCATGGTAACACGTTTGATGCCGCATTCTTAGTTTGCTCATTATTAATAAAAGTCAAAACATGTTTTCATAAACTATGACAGAGACACAATTGCTTTTTGCAGGTAATACATCTTATTGAAAACACTGTTACACAATAACACACTTTGGCGAGGTTAGCTTTCAAACCTCTTTGCATCGTTGTTGTTTTTTTTCCCTCAGATATTTAAATGTGCGTATGTGATGCCACTCAGCGCCATATTGTTTTGTTCATTGTATCATAGCATATGGGTGCTTAGTTGTCTCGTCATTTGGACGACATGATTAATGTGTGATATTCTAGGGTTAGGGGTTTGTATATTGCAACGGTTTTGATTTGGTTTAGATTTATAATTATTTATCAGTGAAATATTCAAAAATAAATACCAAACAACCAGTAACGATACAGTCCGGTACAACATGCGCGGGGAAGTCGTCACCTGCGCATGCGTCAGATGACCATAGCGCGTCATTGTTAACGAACAAGCGTCTACCCATGAGCCTTTGCTTTCTTAGCGTGTGTTGTTATCATCGCTTGGGACTCAATTCCCGCGCGTGCGCAGGTGACGACCCTCCCGCTTTAATCTTTTCACTGGCGGGTACTACTGTAAGTGGAAATTAAGTGATAGTTGAACCTTCGCATATTTATCCAGCTGTGGCTACATCCACGATACAATGTGAAGGCACTACGGCACTGTCATACAAGTCACAAGCACTCACAGAAGTTCGCGAAGATAATCGCACTGAATTATTGAATTAGGCACATTCTGAATGATTATTTAAAACAAATACTGTAAAACATGTCTTTTCGCGAGCATTTCTTTTTTGCGAATTTAGCGAGAGAACTGATTCGCTAATTCAAGACTTAATTATCAGTTCAAAATGGCCGCCAAACAAGGAAATCAGCAATGACAAGAGAGATTAGCTAAATCAACATTTCGCTATTACGTCATTTTACCACAATTCGCTAAAATTGCATGCCGCTTTTTCAACATGTTTTACAGTGTAGTATTAGTAACGAACATGAACAGCCGAGAAATTAATAAAAAAAATCGTTCATTCATTTCTAACTCGCTAACCAATAGACGACTTTCCCGGAAGTCGAAGATACGGCGCTTCGCATGCGCGCGCGTGTCGTTGTTGAATGTATTGCATGATATTGTGCTTCTGGGTCTACCAATCGGCGTCACAAAAATAAAATTCCCTTCTATCGACTATCAGCAAACTGACATATCTGTATATTCAGCTGTGACAAAGCAGGAGTATTTTTGCACCCCAGTATCGCTACTTCCGGGAAAGTGGTCTATGAAGGACGAACGTCCATAAAATAGTTAGGAAGTCCGCCCTCTGCAGTTTACCTCGACAAGGCTGCTTATTTGTCTAGGGTTTATATACGCGGCACTGCCACCCATTTCCCGAGTGCGAACTAATTACATTATTTAAAACAATTCAGCAAAAGTTGTTGGTGGTGAGATTGATTTTGAGTAATTGATTCAAATTTGGATAATATCATTACTGATATGGTTAAATTGTTATTGGTTGCATTAGCAAAAATGAAAGAAAGTTTAAAACGTCGTACTGGAACTATTATGACAGGGTCGAGTTGTTATCTGCGTTGTATAGAGTTTCACATCGGAATTACACCGGAAACACCAGTATATATAAAATCCAGTTTCACATCTAAGACAAATAAAACACTTCCCTTGGACGCATGGCTGCCATGCAATAACATCACTGGTTAAAGTCGTATTCATTTCCCTACCCCAGAACAGCAGTGCGTGACAACCACATGCCAACACATCAATCTCACACGAGTTACTAGGCACACCCGACGTAAAACTCCGTTATCGAATGTGTTAACAAATGGTGCGATACACTGTACATTTATAGTGTGTCTAAACGCGGTAAGAATAACCGACTCGTGCTTCATGCAATATATAGAAATACGAAATCCTGTGCTGTTGTTTTAACCAAACTAAATCCGCACAGTGTTCTTGTCCTGAACCCCGGGTCCTAAACAAACGGAACAGAGGATGCCAGGCACATTAAAATTTCACCGACACTGCCACTAACGCAGACAGGTTACTTTGCCCGCACAGACCAGGCAAATACTGCAACAAATTTAAGGTGGAGTATTGTTGGGAAGATGCACAAAACCAACGCGGCGCCAGTGAAACGCTTTTCCTCGATACATATACGAAGAATCACACACAATTATTACAGATATTCAATGAATTATAGTAACATACTTCAGCGGCAAATCCCACACAGTGGAGACGCTCTTCGATATCCTGTTGCATCTTGACAAAGATCTGTTCGCTTGTCATGATCAATATTCTCTTGAAGAAACGAGGATGCTCATCCGAGCTGTCTAATGAGCTGGTGAAGAGACAACACACTGCAAGAGGTAGACCCAGGTGACTTTAGATGAGTTCTATGCGCCAACACTTCTAAACAACCCGCGTTTCAAATGACGTCGTTTTTTTGTTTTCCTAATTAAAATGCGGTAGTGGGGCTTGCGGTAATCGTAAACCGATCCAGAGGCTTGGCCATATCTCGTATTAGCATACGCCCTTTCAGTCATAAAAATGTCATCGTTTCGACGGTTTAGCAAACGCATAAAACCGATGTAATTTATTTATACTGTATGATATTCTGCCTTTAAGGTGTCCCGACCAATAATAAGACAGGATTGGTAGTATGTACTCCCACTAACATGGGGACGAGCACACGGTTAACCAGCATCGAATTTGGCTGGAAGAGTTGTGAACGCGGACCGAGTTTTGAGTTTTGAAAACTACAGACTCTTTGTGTTGCATGGTGGGAACTTTTATTGGTGTACAAATGAATCCATGTATACTTCCTAGCGTTCCAACGTGACCATTGAACAACACGTTTGTGTTGTTTTATTTAAAACAACGGGGGTGTACGACAATAATTATTCAAGGCGATCTCGATATCGTAAATAATATAATGCTAGCATTCATGTATGTTTTAGCGGGTAGCAGGCGTGACTAGTTATTGCTGTACATAACTTACTAATCACTATGTTGTAGGAATCACGATTAGTTTTGTCTGCGATATAAGAGTGTATCTCTATAATGCAGCCTTGGTGTAATTAGTCTTACGGCACCCCCCCCCCCTACGACACACTGTGCACCCCAAACCACAATAGTGTATTCAAATTCGTAATACTTGCCTAGCCAGACTAATCCCGCTACTATGAAACTAAATATTAAATTCTGAGATGAAATATGAAGGGTGTTTTACGAGCGACATAAGTCATGCACGCTCCATATGATGCATACATATGTTAAAGACAGTTATGGTTATCACAAAAAATTAAACAGAAAGACTATAGCAGTAATATATGCGTTTTAGTTATATAAACCCAGGTACAATTCTAACTAAGAGTTCGCGGGTGTTGAATGTTACGCGACAATGTCTTATGAATCGGTGGTACATAAATACCGACCTCTGACTCGCTTACTTGAGTGTTGAAAGTCACACGATCATCACCAGGCAGGCTGATCATATCGGGTTTGGTCCTGCATTATATAGTTATCGCGTTGGCACTAGAAATAGTCCATCGTTATTAACCGAGTCGCCCGCCAATGCCATCCACATATATATGACAATTGCCTAATTATCATATAATAAGGTCATTGGTATGCTAGGGGTATAGTCGATAACTTTAAGCTATATTCAGGGAGAATGACAGATCTCTAATAAATGGATATATTTCTAAGGTCCTTTATGATGCTACTATTATGAGAGCAATAACTCATTGATTGACGACTGTCATTATCAGTTTTATTGCCATAATAATCCTGTGAATGTGAAAATAAAACTTACCACAGTAGTCATAATATCGGCGATTATTTTGCGTATTCTGCCCACCGCGTCACGACGAGTTATATACCTAAACCCCACAGCAAGTATACTACACCGCAATTTTGATTCCGTACTAGGAAATGAATCATCCCATACTGTTACGTATGATTCGTATCTTCTACTATAGCTATAGGCGATTAAGCCATATTCGGGAGAAAAAAATATCAAAATCCTAATATGACCCCAATAACTGATATCTCTGTAAAATACATTGAATTCTTTCTAATTAGTTTTCAACGCACTAACAGTTAAAATCTACGCATTCAAAAGATAATTTTAAATTATTATTATTATTACATATTTTTTTTTTATTTTAATTCCAAGGCACTAGAATCCGTTTTAGGAATGACGTGCGCCCGCTATTGTCACATTATACTGCTTATTCATTTCTGTTGTTTTTCTTACAAGTGGCGATTACAAGATTACAAGTGGCGATTACGTACTCCAAGAAAGATCGAGCGAGAGTAATCAACCTCGTCCTTTTCTAGTGCTTGTAATCATAACGCTGCTGTAACGCATGTTAACGCAGACAGGCCCCGAAAGCGTGGCATTTAATCGGGTACCCTTTGACGATAAAAAATATTTGTTTTACGACCTCAGTACATGTAATGAAATCGGACCCAGTTACCCAACGAGTAATTA